GATAGATATAACAAATAAATTAAATATATCTTATATGTCCAATATGTCCAAGATATCAATTATATCAAATATGTCCGATATATCAAATATATCAAATATATCTGACATTTAGATCTGCAATATGCTGTGCCACGTTCGCCAATCCAATCCTGTTACAATACAAAGTCATAATTTCTTAATCATAATTTATTGATCAATTAGCTAAAATTACAAAAATGATAAAAATGATAATGATAATATCATTAATGAAGTTAAATATATTAAAAATCTCTTTTTTTTTCATTAGATTTTATCTAAGAATTTTTATGTAAAAAATGTGTACGTTTAAGAACAATCACAGCTTAGCCTATAAATAAAAAATAAAAACTTCCTATTCAAACTTTTTTTTATTTCTTATATTCTTATCTAAAAAATATTCTGTTATTAGTTCAAACTGTGATGTTTTTTATTAAAATATTTTTTTCACTACATTTCTTAAATATTTTTCTCATTTATTTTCTTTTTCTTTTGCCTACAAAAAAATAAACATCAGAAAATATTTAAAATGATAGTTAAAATTAACATAACTTTAAGCGTAAATAAATCTCATATAATAACTATTTAATTATCTTTATAAATAATGAAAATAATAATATCAGTAACATTATGTGCTAATAAATTCTTTTAAAGATTTCTGATGTTATTTAGCCTATTAATTCTAGTAGAATTTTTCAGTTTCTTGTAACTATGTAATTTGGGTTTTATATAATGCCTGCTGATAATTATAATCTAAATTAATAGACTCTTAATGTAAAAATTTGAGAGTACTAAAGAGTTTCTGATAAAACTTAATGATGTGAATACTTCTGTATTGAGAAGTCATTATAATCAAAAATTAATCAGATAATTTAGCTAAGAACTTGCTAGAGTTGTATGTCTTTTTTAACCTTTTTTTATTAGATATTAATTTCAAGTTCGTTAATTTAGAGAGTGTAAATTTTTAGAGAGTAAGGAATTAATAGATAATTTTAAGAAAAGTGCTATGATATTAATACTTTTTATTGATCTTTTTTGTTAAAGGACTGCTCATGAAAAATTGTTCTTTAAGTATCTAAAGAGGATTGCTAATAATTGATTAATTCAAATAAACTTAAAATAGAATTACAAAAGTGGTTGCAGTTTTAGTTTAGATTTCTTATTTGTATTCTTTTTACTTTATTAATTAATACATTTAAAATTATAAATTTATTTAATAAAATTTATAGTAATATCAAATTATTAAAAGTCAAAAAAATGAAGTTAAATATATTAATTTGTTTAAAACTTAGCTGAAGAATATATATTTAAATGGGAGAATTTCTAGAAAAATCAGGTTCTGAAAAATTTTAACTAAAATTAAAAGCTTAATGCATTTTAATCAAATAATATCAAAAACTAAAATGCAATAAAAATCTCAATTCATTAAAAAATTTTTAGAACCTAATTTTTCTAGCAATCATTCCAAATATATTTTATGTATATATGTATATAATGTATATTTTTTCATGTGATCTATTAAATAAGTATTATATTACAATTAATCAAATATTAAACTTTAGATACTTCAATAGTTTCTATTACTTAGTATAGTTAAAATGATTTATTTAGTTAAACTTGTTAATTAAGTTAACAATATTTATAATATTTCTATAGTTTATTAAGTTGTATTTTATCTTAATTTAGTAATAAAGTTAAATCAAAAGTTTATATAAATAGGATAGGAATTTTATGTAATTTTTTCAGTCAATTAGTTTTAAGTTAGTTAACAATTATTTTACAGTCAGTTTTGTAATAATTATAGTTTATTATTTACTCATAATTTTGTAAGTTCATGAATAAAAGTTTATTGAAATTATTAAATGATATTAATTCCAATTTCTTTATTTAATAAAACTAATTTTTACCCTTTAATTTTATTTAGTTAAATTTATGATATAAAATCCAATTTATCATTATTACTCTTTTCTATAAATATAAATATATACATTAATTATATTAATCTGTATTAATAATTATATTGACATGAATAAGACTTTAGGTATAAATTATTAACCTTTAGAAATCTAAAACTTTGTTATACATGTTAAAGTCTATTTTTCAGTTAGTAGCCTTTGCAATCAACTCATATAACAATATAATAAATACTTTAATAATCAAATTTTTATTATTAAATAAAGTAGTTTGCTTATTAAAAGTTATTAATAAAATAATCATCTATATAGAAGAAAAACTTATATATTTATTTTAATAACTTTATTTATATGTATTTTATTTTAAAAATATATTTAATAAATTAAAGAGCTTATTTTAAACTTATAAAATGAAATTGTATAATAATATTACTAAAATAAGATTTATTATACTATTTGAAATTATAAGAAAAAATTTGTAAAAATTCTTATTAATAAATTTTTTAAACTTTTTTCAATTATTATAGATGTATATCAAAACTTTTTAAAATAATTTTATTATATTCTTAATTATATTTTTAATATAATTTTAATAGTTTTAATTTTCATTATATAAGAAAAATTTATCATATCTTTTATTATAATTTTAACACAGTCAACTTTCTATAAATACATCCCTCTCAGGACTTAACAAAAGTGTGTATTTATATAGGAAATGTATTTATAGAAAAATATAAAATAATTAGCCAGGAATATATGCGTATTATAAATACCATACCTATTATCTTTTAATTACATATGCAGAAATTAAAATGATCAATTATGCTGAGCTGATACAGTTTAGTTTTTTTAAAATTTTTTTTTTTGTTTTTGCTCTTTTCTTTTTTCCTTCTTCTTTTTCTTTTTTCTTTTCCTTTTTTAGGAACGGTATTCTTAGACTCTTAAACTTCTAGACTTTCTTAGAATATAAATGTAGACTGTAATATTACAGTATTACTATAACTGCAACACATTATATAATAATATATAGCAATGTGATACACAACGCGATATATTATATTATTTATAGTTACATTATGATTAATTTATATTTTATTAGGTAATTTATAATTCTGATTGAGACTATAATCACATAGTCACGTGAGTGTATTTATATAAAAAATTTTATATATACAGAATTGGAAAATTATTGCATAGTGTATAAAGAAAAAGATGCATTTAGCACTAATTTCTTGACTCAAAACTAAGCTAAAAAGTGCATTTAAAAAGATGTGCATTTATATAGGATTCATTTATAGAGAATTAACTGTATTATTTTATCTAAATTTTAAGTATTATTAAGAGATTTTAACCTTTATCTATAAAGTATGTTTAAAATAGATAAGAGTAATTTTATATTATTTTATTTTTATGTATAATTTAAATTTAATAACATTTATATTATTAAAAAAAAACTAAAAAAATAGTAATAATATATTTTTAATATTTGTAAAATAGTTTAAATTATATTTATAATTAGAATTTATTTTTTATGATTATTTTATATTATTTTTTATTTTTATTTTTTAAAAAAAAATAATAATTCAGTCAATTCTTTTTAATGCATACTTTTGTTTAATTTCAAGTATATAAAAATCATATAATAAATACACATCTTTTTTAAATAAAATTTTTACTATAATTTTAAGGGATTGTATTAAGAGAGAATTGACTACATAATGATATAATATGATATAAATAAAAATTGTAACAATTAATATAATTTAATTCATAAAACTAAATAATAAAGATAAAGGAAATAAATATAAATTAAAATGATGCAAATGAAGCACATACGCCACATATATAATATCGTATTTCGTTAATTGTTAATTTCCGATATCTACGCAACCACGATTTATAGAGATCAATAACCGTTATTGGATGAGGCCGATCCCATGGACTTGGGGGACAAGAAAGATATAGAAAAGGGAATAGAAAGAGAAATAGAAAAGGAGGATATTCATTAACATTCTGCGCCACAACACATGCTAATAGAATGCCAATAGAAATTCGTGTAGCTTTCGATGTTGAATAAAATTAATCCTTTCCTTCAATACAAAAGTTAAAGACTACTACGGTAATTCTTCTAATAATAGCATCAAACTAACCCTCAACATCTCTGGTGCCTTTTCTTACCTGTGGTTAATTCTTGTTAACACTATTTAATCACCACCGGTACCTCGTTGACGGTGATTATTTCCGCGCATAAACCAGCTATTTTCCATCTTTTTCTTTTGATAACTTTACCTTTTTATATTTTCATCGCGGAAACCCTTCATTATAAAGTTTTTCGATCATTTCACTTTATACCAACTTTAAACTCCTTACAACATAATATACAATGGGTGCGTCAGTCTCAAAAGCTTTGGCGAGGATCTTTGGTAATAAGGAAATGCGCATCTTGATGCTTGGTCTAGATGCAGCTGGTAAAACAAGTATCCTTTTTTTTTAAAAAATGAATCATTATTATTACATTTTCATTTTGAATGGCAAGCAATTCTGCAAGGTTTACGAGTAATCTTACCTTGCAAATTTTAGACATTTTATTATCGTTGACTCTTTACATTTCAATCCTGCTAGCGATTTTGTATAAATTAAAGCTTAATCAATCTGTAACAACGATCCCTACAGTTGGTTTCAATGTAGAAACAGTGACATACAAGAATGTCAAATTTAACGTTTGGGTTAGTATATATAATCTCTTATTTAAACATACGTAACATGTAATGATTACATTGATCAATTCAATATTATTTTTTTTGCAGAATGTGTGTGACGACATAAATATAATCAACTTTATTTAATTTATATAGGATGTTGGCGGTCAAGATAAAATTCGTCCACTGTGGCGTCATTATTATACTGGTACTCAAGGGCTCATATTTGTAGTTGACTCTCAAGATAGAGATCGTATAGACGAAGCTCGACAAGAGTTACATAGAATCCTTTCAGATCGTGAAATGAAGGATTGTTTATTATTAGTATTTGCAAATAAGCAAGATTTACCGGGAGGTGCGTAAATTTGATTCACTTTCCAAAGATATATTAGGATAATCTTATTTAGTAGCCAATTTCTTTTTTGATTTTAATAGCAATGTCTCCTGCGGAGGTGACCGAAAAACTTGGTTTACATCGTATGAAAGAGCGTTCTTGGTACGTTCATCCTTCTTGCGCTACCACCGGGGAGGGTTTGTTTGAAGGATTAAATTGGTTAAGTCAAAACGCCAAAACAAAATAAAGGACTTTCGCATTTTATTCTGTAAGGTTATTTATCATTCTCTCATTTTTTTTTTTATTTTCGAATTTTTGAGAGTTAGTGCATGTAGATTAGAACAAAAAGGATTTGTGAAATCAGAAATTATTATTTTATTTTTTATATATATATAATTTATGATTTACATTACATAACAACATTTCATTTCTTTAGAATATCATTTATCATATCATCATATATCATATCATTATCAATTAATATAATCAATCAGTATTTTAAAAATATTTTATTATTTAATTGTTATAATAAATATATATGTATATATATATATATATTTATTTTTTATTTATTTTATTAATTATTAAGTGATGCTAATACTTTATTAATACGTTTTAAGCAAGCTTCTTTTCCTATTGTTTTCATGGTTTCTGCCACACCAGCACCAACCTAATAATACAAAAATCACACACATTAAGAAAAATTCAAATATAATTAAAACAGACATAATAAAAAAGGATTATCTTACCTTAATTCCGGTTATGATATATCTTAAAGTCATCATGATTAGGTTTTGTTTATAACCAGTTTGAGTTGCAATACTTTGTATCATTGACTTAATTTTATCAACCTGAAATTCTAATTCATCATCTTTAAATTCATTTAATTTGGTTAAACTTAGGTTTGAAATGGTTTTTAAAATATCATCGGGGATTTTTTTTCTTAATAACCGTGAATCTTTTAAATGATAATTTGGTTCAATAAAAAAATATTCACATAATTCTGGTATGTCTTTAATATTTCGAATCCGATCCTATGTTTAAATCAACAAAAGTTTGTAAACGGTCCGTAAGAATGTCATAATAAGAATATTGTATTGAACTTACTTTCATTACCGTTATAACATTTGTAAGATATTCATCTTCCAACCTATATTTATCCTTTGTTGATTTCAATCTAAAAACCAACGTGATTTATATTAAAAAAAAAAGAAAAAAAAAATAAGTTGACCGTAAAATTAAAATCGAATCAATTTTTTTTTTACATATAAAAATAAATACTTTTCCGCAAATCTTTCATTGACAGAAGGTTTTAATAAATTTACAAGGTCTTTTAATCCCCCTCCAGATTCAGTTTTACGTAATATATGTTGTTTATTTAACCAATCAAGTTTTTCACGCATTACAATAGTCCCAGAATGTCCAAGGTGTTCTAAAGTAAACTTTTTTCCTCCCAAAAATAAATAAAGAAATAATATATATATAATACAACTAGATCAGAATTTTAAAATTAAAAGGTACCTCGGATATTAATTCTTCCATCGTGAATACGTCATTCTTTGAATTAACAGGACTCCATCCTAATAATGCAACGAAATTTATAAGTGCCTCAGGCAAATAACCTTTATTAGCAAAATCTTCAACGTTAATATCTCCTGATCTTTTTGATAATTTTGATTTATCCGTATTTAATAATAGTGGTAAATGAACAAAATTTGGTAATTCCCATCCGAATAATTTATAAAGTATTATATGTTTTGGTGTAGAAGATAACCATTCCTAATTAAAGTTCATAACTAATTAAATTTCTCAAAGGAAAATGTTTTCATCTTGATAACAAATAAATTAAAATTTCTTACCTCCCCACGTAAGACGTGGGTTATTCCCATCGAATGATCATCTATCACGTTAGCTAAATGATACGTTGGGTATCCATCGCTTTTTAATAAAATAGCATCATCAATATGTTTATCATTAAATTCCACGTTTCCATGGACCAGATCATTAATGATTACAACGCCGTTAGGAGTCTATCAGAACAATTTCATCATTGTAAGTTTAAGTCCGAATGTAAAAAAAAAAATCAACGAGATGATGTACCTTTAGACGAATTGTGAAAGGGATTCCTTGTGCTAATTTTTGTTCAATTTCTTTTTGGCTTAAATGCAAACAATGCCTGTCATAAACAACGCCTTTCCCGGATCTTTGAGCTTTAATCCGTATTTCTTTTAACCTTTCTAAAGTACAAAAACATCTATAAGCGTTTCCATCCTAGCCAGAGATTTTTTTTAACATAATTTTTTTTGAATTTCATGAAAAAATTGAAATTGGGTAAAATTCTTATATATAAATCCATACATTAATCAATTTGTCTACGTGAGACTTGTAAATCTTTGTTCGTTCCGACTATAAATAAAAAAAAAAATCATCAATCAAAATAATTCATTCGGATTCAGTAGACGTCATTAAAGTTAAAAAATGTAACCTGATAAAATAGGCGAGGAGATTCATTATTTCCTGAGCCTTTAATAATATTATTAGTTTATCAAATAATAATTTAACGAAAATTTTTATGCTAGCGCACCTTCATCAAGTTCATCAAATGATAAACCCGCCCATGATAAAACCGAAAGTAAGTTATCAACAGAATCAGTCACAAATCGCGTCTAAATTATAAATTATTTTTAAATTATCTTAATCATCATCATCTCTCTTTTTATTATATTTCCATTCTTAAGATAAATAAAATAAATTTAAAATTAACCCTATCCGTATCTTCTATTCTTAAAAGAAATTTTCCACCAGTTTTACGTGCTAATAAATAGTTAAATAATGCAGTTCTTAATCCTCCAAGATGTAAATATCCCGTTGGACTGGGCGCAAACCTAACGCGTACTGGTATTTTATAATCAATTTTTGAACCTGTAGCATATAAATTTCGTTTATAAATTTGCTTAAACAAGGTCATGCAATTTGATTTATGTATAAAACGAGAATTTAAAAAAATTTGATAATTCCACATTTTTTAAAAAAATCACAATCTCAACTTTAAATCGGGATATTTCAGTTTTTGGTAAGTGCATGCATCAAAAAAAAAAAGGATTTGTTTTAATAAAATGTATTTTGTAGATCAAGTTTGTTATCTAGAACTTTAAACCAACCCTTGTGGCTCAACTCTTACAGTTATGATTTCATTATTTTACTTTTTACTTTGTAAACCTTACCTTTATACTCGACAAGATGGCCGCAAATTTTTGGACTTCAACGCATGGGTAATGTCAACTTACTAGGTTATAAAATTTACGTTATTACATCTAAATACCTTTTTTTTTTTTTACCCTTAATTAGAATGCACTGGTTACTTAGTCGTCATGCTCTCGCTGAATGTAGAAAAGTAGATTTAAAAGTCGTGACTGAACAAGAGTTAATCAAAGTTAACATATGGTTCGCACAAAGTAAGTGAAAACCTAATTTTAATTTTCACTATACTCTTAACCTTTTTTAAACTTCTAATTTCATAATAGTAATAACTGAACTTGGAAGAAAACTCTCAGTACGTCAAGTAATTATTGCAACGGCCATTACTTATTTCAAACGATTTTATACAAGGTAAAATTTTTCTCATTGAAAAAATATAAAGCTTTCACCCTTGAAATCTGTCTAAATTTCAATTTTATGCTTCATAGAAATAGTTTTAGAAATACCGAACCTAATTTAGTCGCCGCCACATGTATGTATTTAGCATGCAAAATTGAAGAATCTCCACATCATATAAAAACCGTTATCGCAGAGATGAAAGCAATCATTATAGGTAAGTTAATTTATCAAATTCAATACCTTTGACACTTTCGACTAACTCCTCCTTTTACACATACACACACACATACATGCATGCATGCATATATACATACATATATAGAGAAAGGAGGAAGTTTTCCATATGATAATCAAAAAGTAGCAGAAATGGAATTTTATTTATTAGAAGAGTTAGAATTTAATATGATAGTATTTCATCCATATCGTTCGTTAATGACATTGGCACAGGATCTAGGTACCAAAAATGATGATGTACAATGGGCTTGGTATATTATAAATGATTCTTATCGAACTGATATGTGTTTGTTATATCCGCCACATGTTATTGCCACTGCTGCTCTTTATTTACAAATAGCACTTAAGGGGGGAGCTCAGTATGGTGATTATTCGCTTACATCGACTACAAGTAATGCGAATAATAGCGGTGCTGCTGCTGGAGTAACCACAAGAAATGCAAGAAGGGGTGCTGGTAATAATGCTGGTAATGTTAATGAAACTCCGAAAGTAAAAGATATTAGATTATGGTTCGCTCAATTAAATGTTGATTCGGAACAGGTAAGATTATATTAGGTGTTATATTTATAAGGATTTAACTTTCGTTTTAATAAGTAATTTTATTTTATGTTTTAGATAATAGATATTGTACAAGAAATAATATCATTATATGAATTATGGAATGAATATAGTGAAGAAGTTAAGTCAAATGGATTGCACGAATTATTATCAAGATTATTAAACAAATGAGAATACTTTGGTAGTATAGATGGTATTTTTGACCTATAGATAGATTTCGTTTTTTTTTATTTCCTTTATTTTTTTTTAAAAAAAAAACTTACATTTAAAAATTTAATTAAAAAAATCATTACATAATAAGTGTATATGCTAGGTTATTTTTATTATTGAAGTATATTGTTTTGTCTAATCACATAATCTTTCTGATCAATCAAACAACAATATTCAATCATAAAACCTATCATTACTAGTCATTCCTAATAAACTCGATATTAAGCAAATCTATTAAGTAATAAAACGGAATAGCTTAAACCGACTTTGAAAGAGAATATCGCGTAGCATCATTAATATTCTTATTATTACAACAGAATGCACAAGTTTAGCTTGCGTGTCCTCCTGTGTAAACTATTTGTTACTATGGCTGCTCGTGTGTTTTGTAGATCAGATAGATGTAAGCGAAAGTGAAGGTATACATATCTTGGAACCATATGTCGTTGCCCACGTCTGATACGGATCCTGTGAATGCAATAATATAGCTCTGTAATATATGGTGTGCTTTACAATAATCACTAAACGAATTCATTGGGGGTTTTCAAATACTATTAAATCAAAATCATGTGAAGTGTATATTATTATCATTTTATGTATAATTTGATCGACAAGATCGTTATGTATTTTACTAGTCCAAGATTAGTATTCGAAAAATTGTTTCATTTTGTAAACTATTAGTAGGCAAACAATTAGTATATTATAACAAGAAAATTATAGTCCTAATTATTTCATTAGTTAGACGTTTTTAATTGTTATTTTAGGAAGAACTTCGTCTTAGTTATGTTTAAAATGAATAAACATTACATTAATTATTATTATTTTTTATTTATATTAGAAAAAAGGATTTAATCATTTCATTAAAAGAATTGTTACCATCATCCTAACATGTGAAATATCAGATAACATCCCTCCATGTTTTTTATAAGTTTGCTAAAATTAAGAATTGTCTCTTTATTGTCATTCGATCATTGTTTGCGAATGCTTGAGTTATCACCTCCAAAGTAAATGGCTTATTTGTGGATGATGTTTTCCATTGTTTCATTATTATTTTCGAGATTCGTCATAGAATGAATAATTGGTTTTAAAAGAGGTATTGTGGAAATTGCTCAACTCGAAGCGAACCTGGATCATAAGCAATCATGTTAAAAATAATCTAACTAAATCTTCCAATGATAATATTTTATCATTAACGTTCCTAATATTCCTTCCTTGGATTTTTATTTCGGTATTATTTTGCTTGTTTTCTAAATGTATTGTTAAGTAATAGAGGTGGATCAAATGATAACGGATTGATTATATATTCCTTTTGAAGCTGTCTAAGCATACTTTTGATCAATTAAAATAAGTGATTAAACTAATAACTTTTCAGCTGTATCATTTATACTTGATGATTCTTTAAAATATTATCAATTCACAAATTCATTTGATGTGCAAATATTAAAGCTTTACATAAATCAGTTTGGCTTGAATTGTTATCAGCTTAAGCTGAGTTACTTTTTTCAACTCAGCTTAGCTTGACTTGTGAAGATTAATTAACAAGCTAAACTAAGCTAATCTGACTTGTAAGCTAGCTCATTCAGTTTACATTTATATTTAAAAATGAAAAATTATCGAAAAAAATGTTTCTCATTAAGAAAGTGTTCTCAGAACAATTCTCTTTAAGAGAAACATTTTCAAATAATTCTTAAGAGAAATGTTTCCAAAATGATTTTCATCAAGAGAAAAGTTTTCAGATGATTCTCTTTAAGAAGAATATTTCTGAAACAATTCACTTTAAGAGAAATATTTTCAGAATGATTCTTTTTGAGAAAAATATTTCCAGAATGATTTCTTTTGAGAGAAATGTTTTTAGAATGATTTTCTTTAAGAGAAATGCTTCCAGAATGATTCTCTTTAAGAGAAATATTTTCAAAATATATTCCCTTTAAGAAGAATGTTTCTGAAATGATTCCCTTTAAGAGAATTATTTCAAAGTAATTTTCATAAAGGATTTCACTTCTAGAGTAATTTTCTTAAAAAATTCACTTCTAGAATATTTTTCTTGAAGGATTTCATATCCAAAATGATTTTCTTGAAAGGTTTTATTTTCAGAGTGATTTCCTTAAAGGATTTTGCTTCTGAAATAATTTTCTTGAAGGATTTCACTTTCAGAGTGATTTTCTTGAAGAATTTCATTTCCAAAATGATTTCTTTAAAATATTTTACAATCACGTAATATGTTTCCTATTGATGGGAACAATTGCATTTACTATAAGCATTGATACTTTCGATTTTTACATTTTTATATTTATAGAGAATTATTTTTCTGATTCAAATCTACATTTCTTTTCTATAAACAATCTTTTTTTGTGAATTATAATAACAAAAACAAAAGGCCTTATCATGTAGTTTATACTTGTTAAAACTATACATTTAAAGAACTACTATAACTTAATCCATTTTAATCTAAGTGGCTTGTATAATATATATGCTAAATTTTCGTTATTTTTCGTTATTTTTTTTACATTATCAAATATATTATTTATAATATATCAATATCTATTACCTTTTTAATTTAATTATAAACAAATTATTTACTATCAATACATAAAATTCATTTAATAATATAAAAAGAAATTTTAATGTTAACAAATTATCTGTCAAAAATAAATAATAATAGTTCATAACTAACTTTAGAATAAAAATTTTGAAGTTACATTTAATACAAATAATACTCTTACCAAAGTTTATTTCAACTTACAAGTTTATATATATCCTATTTAACGCTATAAGTGTTATTGTTAATTATATAGTAATTATAGATAATAAAAATATTACCTTTATTATACCTTTAATACTTATCTTCATTAAATATATTATTTTTAAAGATACTTGATATACAATATTCACAAAAAAAATGAATTATGTAATTGCCAATCCTGAAAAATCATCCTAAATTTTTGAGGAAAAAGATGTTGATAAAACTGATGTTAAGTTTAATAATCCTGATAAGGAGTACGAGATTTTGGATAATAGAGAGTACAGCAATGTAAATACTTTTTCTAATCACTCAGAAACTCCTACCACTAATACAACTAAAAACAATAATAATCACAAAACACATGACTTTTGCCTTGACAAATTTGTAATAAATTATGCAAAGAAATATGTAACTTCAATGGTTACCAATTTTGAAAAAGAAGAAGTACATATGAATTAGTTTAGATCTGATATTAATATACAATCAGAGGTAGAATCAATTTGAATCTCATCAGCAGATGATAATGAAAACATTGATTATGAGTTAAATGGTAATGGTGGAAATATAAAAAATCAATATGTAATCATTGATATTATTGATAGTATAATACAACAATGTACAAATAATACATATTATTTAATCAAATAATTAATAAAAGTATAGAATTAGATTATAATACAGTAGAAACATGTGTCAATGCAAATGGGCAAGAGTCTTTACATTTACTTAGAGTGTGCTCATCTCATTTTAATTGAGATCAGAATAGTGCTTATAAACATAGCTTAAAAGGCACTGTTTTTATTAATAAGAGCTAAATACACCTATGTTAATATCTTTTTTGTGGTAATAATAAGTATTTTATTAGTAGAGGTAGTTGTAAATATTATTTCTAAAAGGTTATAAAACATAATGTGCAAGTTCTATACTCTGGCTTAAAAGAATATCCAGTATTTATAGAAAATAAACTTTGTCAAATTTCAAACTATACAGTCTGATCTTGATATATTTGTTCATCTTATTTTAAAATTGAAGGATGTTATTTTTTCCAGCGAAAAGGCAGAGGAGCAAAATCTTTTACCTGTAATGAGTTTCATAAAAATGATACTTCTAAATCACTAGATCTTATTAGTAAATGAATGCAAGATATAGCAACTAATTCAAACTAATTAACTAAAGATATTTTACTTAAGAAACTTTTGAAAACCATTGTTAATTTTTTTGAAAGAAAGGCAGAAGTTTCAAAGGAATGTAAACTTGATAAATCTCAAATATTGCTACAAAAAAGACAATTTTCCAGCTATATGGTAATAAAGATAGTTTTACAATTAAAAAAAGTAAATATTAAAAAATTATGTGATGTAGAATGATATTATAATTTAATTATAAAACATTCTAATAAATTTAGAGAAGCGCTTGGATTAGTAATTTGGAGATCTTGTTCTGAAATAAAAGAAAAAAAAGAAACTTGAATTGCCATTAATATTTGATGAATATCGGAGTGGTTTTCTAAATGTAATACATAAAATCTTTAAAGGATTCTTAATACTTATCCAATATAATAAGTAAAAAGTTATAAAAAAAAACAAAAGCAACGAAAATAAGAATATAAAGAATTTGATAACACGCAAGCAGTTAAGATTTCAGCTTTTATAATTTCCGTTATACTTATAGTAACATTTCTCAGAATTAATATTTGATTGACATATGTTATGAGTAGTTTATACCAAAAGTCACATTTACATTCAACTTTATATGATATATTATGTATGGCTAATGTGATTTCTTATATAGCACATTATAAAAAGCAATTAGAAAAAGAAAGACAATTGAAAAATAATTATAATAAAAGGATTTTACGTAGTAATAATATATGAAATATATGTGTTATAGATAATATTGACTTTAAGGAAAAAATATTTTATTATGACAATATTTTTGATATAGTTTAACGAATAGCATATGCAACACTAAGAATGATTTTTTAATTTACTTTGCTAAAACTTTTATCAGAAATTGTTTCAAGAACAGATAGTAATACAAATTTTGAATTCCAAGTAGGCATCTCCTCTCTTATAAAAGATTAGTTTCAGTAATTTGAAAAAATATTTTACCTTCTTATAAAAGATCATAACAGAAATTTTGATGTTACTAATATGTGTACAGAATTCAGAAAAATTACTGATATGAGATGCAATATATCATCACCAAATGTTAGAATATT